GTAACTCTATATCTAAAGATGGTTTTAGATGATAACCGTAGGTCTACATTAGCATTTTTAGCAAAGTTCCTATGTTTATTGTGGACAAAGTACATTATTGCAACATGTAATCTTTCTGAATGTCCTGAGTGAAAACGTATGACAAAAAGTAGAGCTAGTGAATTAACCAATTTGTAAATAACTTTTTGTTATATTTAATAGAAAATATGCATCTTGGACATAGAATTGTTAAACTACCTCTGAGAAGTGTATGTCAGGATTTCTTTATTAGATAGACAATAGAGGGACAGAAGTAAGCATAAAGAGAGAGAAGTATGCAGATGTGTTCATATTAACATTTTGATGATAGCCATTGATATATGTTAATCTCTTTGGGCTGTACTATAAAAATACATTAAGTAATTCAATGGAAACATATCTTTCTGATAATGTTTTAATGAACTAATTAGCTCTGCTAATAAATTATCTTAGAAACATCATATTTAGTGTATTCTGTTGTTTTATGTTTTATCTTAAATTGGGCATTAAGAGAATGAAGTATTTTAATCAGAACTCTACCAATATTTTTATCTAGAGGCATGCTGCCATTTTTGCTTTCTATAAAATTTTTGTTTCAAGAAAGGCAGGATAATATCTTTTTTCTAACATACTGACTTGGTGTAGTGTATTCTTGGTTATCAAAATTCTCATATAGCTTTGGAAGCTTTCTTTTTTTTTTTTTTCTTCAAGACAGAGTCTCACTCTGTCGTTCAGGCTGAAGTGCAGTGGTGCAAACTTGGCTCAGTGAAACCTCCATCTCCCAGGTTCAAGCAATTCTCCTTCTGCAGCCTCCTGAGTAGCTGGGATTACAGGCATGCACCACCATGCCCAGTTAATTTTTGTCTTTTTAGTAGAGATGGAATTTCACCAGGTTGGCCAGGCTGGTCTCGAACTCCTGATCTCAAGTGATCCACCCGCCTCGGCCTCCCAAATTGCTGGGATTACATGTGTGAGCCACTGCACCTGGTCTGGAATTTTGAATTGGTAAATATTCATGTGTGTGAAAAAGCATGGCACATACTATACAACCTCAATCTCATAAAATTGAATGTTTTATCTATATATACACAGACCTAGAAAGACATGGCAAACCGTAAACTGCTGGTGATTGTGAATAACTTTGTTCTTTGCTTCTTGTGTTTTTTAGTTTCTTATAATGCACATATTAACTTTTTAAGAATAAAGGCTATTTTGAAAATCTGAAAGAAAAATCAGTATTGTTTAACTTTGCATACTACCTAAAGCAATCTATGGATTCAATGACATCCCCATGAAAATATCAATAACATTCTTCACAGAAATAGAGAAAAGAATCCCAAAATTTATATGGAATCACAAAATACTCAGAATATCCAGAACTATCCTGGGCAAAAAGAACAAAACTGGAAGAATCACATTAACTGACTCGAAATTTTACTCTAGAGCTACAGTAACTAAACCAGCATGGTACTAGCATAAAAACAGACACGAACTAATGAAACAAAATAGAGAAACCAGAAATAAATTTATACATCTACAGTGAACTCATTTTCAACAAAGGTGCCAAGAATATTTATACATTGGGAAAGGGCAGTCTCCAATAAATTGTCCTGGGAAAACTGATATTCATACGCAGAGGAATGAATCTAAAACCCTATTTTTCACCTTTTGCAAAAATCAAATAAAAAATGGTTAAAGATTTAAATCTAAGACCTCAAACTGTGAAACTACTAAAAAATTGAGGAGTCTCTCCGGGTTATTAAACTGTGCAAAGATTTCTTATGTAATATCCTACAAGCACAAGCAAGAAAGGAAACAATGAACAAATGGCATCATATCAATTAAAGAGCTTCTGTCCAGAAAAGGAAACAGTCAACAAAGTGAGGAACAACCCCCAGAATGGGAGAAAATATTTGCAAACTATCCATCTGACAAGAGATTAATAACTAGAATATATGACGTGTTCAAACAACTCTATAGGAAAAAACCTAAACCTAACAATCTGATTAAAAAATGGGCAAAAGATGTGAATAGATATTTCTCAAAAAAAGACATACAAATGGCAAACAAATACATGACCAGGTGCTCAACATCATTGATCATCAGAGAAATGTAAATGACAGCTACAAAGAAATATCATCTCACCCCAGTTAAAATGGCTTTTATCCAAAGCACAGGAAATCACTATGAAGAACAGTTTGGAGGTTCCTCAAAAAAATAAAACTACAGCAACCACGTGATTCAGCAATTCCACTGCTACGTATATAACAACAAAAAAGAAATCAGTACAAGAAGACAGTATCTGCACTCCTATGTTTGTTGCAGCACTGTTCACAATAGCCAAGATTTGGAATCAACCTGTGTTCATCAGCACACAAACAGATAAAGAAAATATGATATATATACACAACGGAGTACTATTCATTAATAAAAGAGAATGAGATTCTGTCATTTGCAACAACATGGATAGGACTGAAGATCATTATGTTACGTGAAATAAGGCAGGCACAGAAAGACAAACATTACATGTTCTCACATTTTTGTAGGAACTAAAAATTAAAATAATTGAACTAATTGAGATAGAGAGTGGAAAGACATTTATCGGAGGCTGGAAAGGGTAGTGAGAGGTTGGGCGTGGTGGATGGAGTGGGGATGATTAATGTGTACAGAATTAGTTAGAAAGAATAAGATCCAGCATTTTATATCAAAATAGGGTGACTACAGTCAATAATAACTTACTCATACACTTCAAAATGACTAAAAGAGTATAATTGGATTGTTTGTTAAACAAGAATAAATGCTTGAAGTGATGGATACCCCATTTACCTTGATGTGATTGATTATTAAACATTGTATGCCTGGGTCAAAGAATATATATATATATATATCTATATCTGCTATGTACCCACAAAAATTAAATTAAAAAAAAATCTAAAAACAGAACTACCATATGATTCAACAATCCCACTGCTAGCTATATACCCAAAAGAAAGGAAATCAGTACATCAAAGAGATATCTACACTTTCATGTTTATTACCGCATCATTGACAACAATCAAGATTTTGATGTAACCTAAGTGTCACAAAAAATGAACAGGTAAAGAAAATGTGGTACATATACACAATGGAGTGCTATTTAGCCACAAAAATAATGAGATTTTGTCATCTGCAACTACATGAAACTGGAGGACATTATATTAAGTGAAATAAGCCAGGCACAGAAAGACAAACTTTGAGTGTTCTCACTTGGTTGTGGGAGCTAAAAAACAAAACAAACTCATGAAGATAGACAGTAGAAAGATGGTTACCAGAGGCTTTGAAGGGTAGTGAGGGTAGAAAAGGGAAGAGGGGATGGTTAGTGGACACAAAAGTATAGTTAGATAGAATGTATACAATCTAGTATTTGATAGCAGAACAGGGTGACTACAGTGAACAATAATTTATTGTGCATTAAGAAAATTAAAGGAGTACAATTAGGGTGTGTATAATGCAAAGCAAGAATAAATGCTCGAGGTTATGGATACTCTATTACTCTGATGTAGTTATTGCATATTGTATTGTATGCCTGTATCAAAGTAGCTTATGTACCCCATAAATATATGCATCTATGATATAGCCACAAAAAATAAAAATAAAAAAATTATAGTTAAAAAAAATAAAAAACTCCCATGGACCATACAACATAGCTACTGGTCCTCTTTGTTCTTAGCTGCACAAGGTTGAATAAGAAGAAATGACGGCAAGTAATGCTTTTCCCTAGATCTTGGCAGTGAAGCCTTATGTACAATTGTGCAAGTAATCATGAAGATGATGATAAGTCACCTTTTTTAGGAACTTTGAACAATCAAAGTTTCACTTGAGTCAAACATTAAAACATAAGTCCACACACATCCAGCTCATTTTGTCAATAGACAAAAGTATACTACAAAAAAAGAAAAAGCTTAGATTCTTCGAGCCCCATCCACAGACTGTAAAAAGCTGTGATATTAGAGTTTAATTTCAGGATCTTTTGACTATTCTGGTGAAGGAATGCCTACAGAGAAACCATGACATTGAATTAATAGGACAATCAAGAAGAGTCTACAAAGTTTCTAAATTTTTTTTGAGATTTCATAGATAATGCAGAGGCTTATTTAATCAAATCACCTAAAGAAAACCCATCTTAGAATTGTCTCTGATATTTCATGCCAAGATCAAAAGATCTTTCAGCCAAGTCCTGTATACTCTAGAAGATCTGAACTGATTCTCTGAAGACATGACTGTCTCTGGAATCTAATGGGTAAATTTGCAAGAATCATGGAAGAAATGCCAATGAAGGGGATAACTAGGATTCATTTTACCAAAATAACTGTGAAATAAGTGCTTGTGTTCTCACTTTTAGATTTGACTTCACTCCAGAAAAAAAGGCATGTAGTCACTTGCTAGCTTCTATACTTAATAATAATCAACAAAAAATTATTATCATGCTTTAGTTCATATGACATTTCAGAGACTACTGTGTTTGCTAGGAACCAGTAAATTTTGAAATTTTCACAGCATCCATAGGTCATGATAATCAACATATAACTAAGTTCACTAAGGAGAAGCAAGATTGTTTGATTTTCCCCAGATAGTAATATAGAAATGATGATGATGATGATGATGATGGAGGAAGAATATAACATTTACTTATTAAAATGTTACCATCTTATCTTGGAAGAGGTATATGTATTATTTCATTAAATTCTCACATGACCCTGTGAGGTATAGGACCTATTACTGTAACTATTTCATAGATGAAAAAAATGAGGTAAAAAAGAGGTTAAGTAATTTGCCTAAGGTTATATAACTACTATTTTGCAGAGCTGAGATTAAGATCCCAGGCAGTCTGACTTCCATGGTCTGTATAACTCCCTTAGCTACTGCTAATGATTGGCTAAATTAGGACTTGAGAAAAAAATTCTTAACTGTAACACTAATGCTCTTTCCATTCTACAATTCAGAAGGCTCCTTGCACCACCAAATAAGTTTGGAGTCAATGCTTTGAAAGGATGATGGTCAGAGGGATTGTGTCTTTGTGGAGAGAGGTAGGTTTCTGAAGCCTGCAGCCAGTAAAATCTGCTTATAGCCCTGAGCACTCAGAACTAAAGTATTCCACCAAGGGAAAAGCAGTAACACAGCAGCTAAGTGTGTTTGAAGGAAAATTTGAAGGTGGCCCTCCTAGTCTGTACTGCCACTTGATAAGCACAAAGTGGAGGAGGAGGATGGAGTTAGCATATCCCCTTTACAAATTGGTTTCTCTATGTCTCATCTCATAATCTCTTGAGCGACTGTTTCCATAGACACCCACACTTCAGTTTCCCAGCTTAACCACATTTGAACAAGAATGCAGGCTTTGGCTTCAGCAGCTGTAAACTGTTTTACCATGTGTCTAACAGGCATGGCTTATCTACCTTCCTGTCTGTGTGCAACAGAACAGAGGGGTGGGAGCAGTTCAACGAACAGTAATGCAGCAGTAATGCAACATTAGGAGTTTCAAAGCTAAACAAACCCAACTTGATCCATATGAAACAAGGCAAAAGCAGACAAAAAATGAGTGACTTTTTTTCATCCTTGGCTTTCGGGAGTGGGGGTGGGGCAATAGTGGTTTGAAGTTGGCTGTTTCACAAGTGTAAAATGAAAGCGCAAGCCCTTTTTATTTTTTTCTTTCTGAAACAGAGCTGTGGGTCCCTGGGGACTCAGAGGAGAAGGCGATAGAGTGTGGGAGTCTGTGTGGGCACTGAAAGAAACCTAGAACATAAGTTAATGAAATTCACAGCCCACAAAGCTGTGCTTTAATTTTGAACTTGAACCAGCAACAGTTAAAGAAAATAATCGAATTAAATTAGGTTTGAAATCACTTGTCTGCTGAGAATATAGGAAACTAACAATGTAGTAGAAGTTTCCATACAAAGGAAAAAGAAAAATAATAATCTTAAAAATTTACTCTTGTGAAAAAAAAAACCACACTTGTCAATTGGCCTAGGAATTTCAGTTATAGCCATAACAAAAAAGTATGAACACACACACACACACACACATAAAAACACACATATAATTAAGAGGGATTCGTGTACATCCACTACACAAACCATGCTAATTTCTATACATCCCACTTGAACACAGCATGCATACGAATGTTCCTCATATTAGGGATTGCTTTGAACTTCAATGTAACCAACCAGACAAATATTCTTGGCCTTGATGAAACCCAAGTCACAAAGAGTACATGATGAGGGATTACATGCATTAAAATAACAAACACATATTTCAATTAATGTAATATTCATAATAACCCTATGAATTAGTTTCTATTATTATTATATTTTACAGATGAGGAAACTGAGGCACAGAGGTGTTGAATGACTTGCCAAAAGTCACACTGCTAAGAAAGAGAGCCGAGACATGTTTTGACATCAGTCTGGTACCGAAGTCTGTGTTCTCAACCATTATAATTAGCAAATGGAAAGAAAGTTTCATAGTCCAGTAGAAAGAAGTGGATGCCGAACCAGTCCCACTCTTTTCCTCTAAGTGTCTAGATATTTTTGTGAGATGCTGTTCTATGTTAGTGAGTAGGTGGGTGGGAATTAAGATGGTGGGGATATTTTTGGTGGGGTGGCTTTAAAAGTAATTGCTATTTGACAAGAGAATGAACCTTTTGTAATGAACTCAGCAGAGACTCTTCCTCTTGCTTAGTCTTTGACTGTTAAAACAATGAATGATCTAGATGTTCCTTTAGATTGCATTTCCTTAAACAGAGGAAAAACATGCTTCAAATGATTTTTGAGAATACTATTTTATCCAAATACTCAAGGTTCATTTTCCCTTGGTTATTATTTCCTGGTTTGTGGAGAGAATTTGGCATCCATGATCTTCTGTTCTAATTTGCTAGAATTGGGATTTAACTGTAATATTTGTATTCACAGGCAAGCTAGTTGGTGGATTACCATTTGTTCTAGACAGATTAAGGCACTCTTTATGTAGCCAGTTTTTTCTGTATTCTGTTGTGCTCAAGGAATCTTACCCCAGCTAGTTGAATCTCCACAAATGGGCATATGTTTGCATTTGTAAGTAAAATCTTTGATAAGCAAAATGTTGTCAACTTTCCTCAGATTCTTCTTTCAGAGAAGTTTTAATGTTGTCACTCTCTCTGAGTAAACTTTGGGATATTGGAAATGTGTAAACTAAGCATAACAGTGTTTTCCTTTGAATACTCCCTATACAAATACAATAGTAAAACAGATGAAACAGAGAAACCAAAACTGTCTAAAGATAGGCAATTCTGATAGTCCTCTCACTCACCTTAGTCATAAATGAAATGCACAAAGTAGTTAGAATAATTTGGCCTTGTCTATGAGCCGACTTTATTATTGTTTATCATTTCTTGCTTGTGTTGCTTTATTTAATTGCAAGGAGAAATTATCACAAACGATTGAGGCTTTTCTTGTTTATCTATTGATAGTATTTAAATGGTGGCTAAGGGACAAGAAAGCAGGAATATTTTTGAAAGGTGGTATGACATAAATATCAGTTAAACAAAAACTCAATAATAGGCACATCTAAGTCAATAAAGTTGGTATAAATAAAGTTGGTATAAATAAAGGGGACAAAGAAATATCTCAGGTTTTAAGGCAGAGTTCTTTTTATTATTTCTTCTGGTTGCAGTCTTGGGCCTGCATATAGGTGCTAAGGACTTAGTAGCTGAGCTATGATTCTTATTGAGCAGATCTAAGAGCCTGACCGTCAGCAAGGAGTTTTGCCTTTAGGATAAGTAAACCGTGAAAGTGGATACAAGGGTACTTATTGAACAAATTAAGTTTCCCATATAAAGTGTTTAGAATATTTCCTGTGGAAAATAGTGGTCACCCCTTCTGATGTGGCAGCATGAGATGTTGAATGGCATAACAATGTAATATGATTATCATTATCTTAGAAATAGCGCAAAAGTTATTTAACATCAATATTACCACTTGAAATACATCACCAACTATCTACACACGAAGCAGAATTACTGAAAATTTTAAAATGAAGGATAAGAGGCTTACAGATGGTGGGAAATTTTATGATTAAATGAAAGTATTGAGTTCCTTGAATAGGAAATGGTTTTCAACAAACAAGTGCCCATAAGTTGCACTTGGGGATTACTAGTGATTTGAAACATATATATTTTTCTAATGAGGAAAAGCCAAGAAATCCCTGAAGTCTCCACTTATAAAACTCAAGCTAAGCTGAATTCAGGCTTCTCATGAATGCCTTACATTCTTGGATAATACTCACTGCTGCCTATGAAATATTACCTGATCATTTGCCCAGGCCATGAACATGTTTCACCCCAGATTGGGGATTGCATGAATTCAGATTTCAGTCACACTTAAAGAGAAATTGGAACTGGCAGGCGTTGAAAGACTATGATTCAACTTGGGAATTAACCCCCCAAAAAGTCAGGGAAATACAAGGAAGAGGAAAGAGAAAGTGTGAGATAGGGGACAAATTGTGTTAGTCAGACTTTCTCTAGGTCCTCATATGAATAGGTGGCTATTTTGAGATCCTCATCACTGAACGCTACAGAGAGAAGCTGCTATGCAAAAAATAAAAATTAAAGAAGAGGTATACACTCTATATGAATACACATGCAAAGTCATGGATTTGTTAATGAAATTTAAGATACCGGGGCCAAATTGGAAATAACTATTTTTTATTTCTAGACTACTGATTAGTCACATCAGCACTGATCCATTTATTTCACTTAACCTCCTTTTTCACTAAAACTTGTAAACAGAGGCAAATAGAGAGTCATCAAGAGGTGACAGAAATAACTAGAACATTCAGAAGGTTTTTAAAAATGGTACCATCAGAACTGTGAAAAGATGTCCCCAGAGTAAAAGAACAGTGTGGGTGGCACTACTCAGTCTTAGTGGGAAATGAAAGGAAGAATATTTTTATATACAATCCTATGCCACCCCAAGGTGTCAATGAACTCATTTCTCTTTTCTCCTAACTAAATGCAAAAAGCACACACTTAAGTGCTTTTGTTTATTCGCTTAAAAACAGACAAATGTAAGTTACATTTACTATGTTGCCTCATCAAACTATCATTGTGTTTTGATTTCTAAGGTAAGAAATATTTATAAATTATTAAACATAGTGAAATTCTTTTCCACTGATAATTTCTAAAATTATTATCATAATTTTGTCATATTTTTTCATACCCAAACATCTAAAATAACCTTTACCCACTGCATCCATATTCTTATTCTGTCTCTTAAAACCTGGCTTCAACATTTTCTAAAGAAAATACTCACTTGATGGTCACTAGCGGCTTCCCAATTAATATATAATGTGATGTTTCCTCAAGTCATCGTTATTCATGACGTTTTTAAAGTGGTTTACACTATTCATCACCACTTTTTGGAGCTTTGCTTCCTTAGTTTTCTTAAGTAGCTATACTGATATTGCTACCTTTTGTCTATTTCCTTTTGTTCTCTTTTTCTGGGTAAACTCCCCCTCTGCTCAGCACTTAAATATTGTTCTTCCCCATATTACTTCCCAGGCAATTATTGTTCTCCTCATGCTGCCTATTCATGCTAGACACATTTACTTTTATGATTTCAACTACCACCTCAATACTGATGATTCCTAAATCTCTAATTCTGGCCTGGTCTTCTTTCTCCTTTGGTTACCAGTGATATGCTAGAATCTGTTTTGATAAGAGACAAAAGGATAGCTGAAAATATGTTGTTCTTAACTCTTCTGGCTTTATCAATGTTTGGAGGGAATTTATTGCCATATTATATGTTATTGAAAGTGAAAATCTGAGGTTTCATCATCTGAAAACAAAACAAAACAAAATAGTATGCAATGGTCTATTTAGTCATATTCTCAAACTAGGTGGGTCAAAAGTTTTGCTTATATAAACCTCAGATGGATTCCCTCTACCAGTTTACACCAGGATAGCAAAGAAGCTTCTTCCAGAGGTGCTCAGTTTTCAGGTTAGGTTGGGAGAATGAGACTGTGCATGCTTTTCAAGATATATCTGAACATTGAAGGAAGTGTTCAGGACTATTACCTCTACCTTTTGTTGTATTCTCTAAAACCCTTTCTAGTGCTACTTCTAGTGACAAACTAGTCCAGATAGAACCTAGGATCTCATAGGACACCAAAATATCTTAGCTCTAGAGTTATGCCGCCTACTCTGCTTCTAATGTAAAATATAAATCACAAGTACCTCTCTGGCTAGTTCTCAATTTTGTCTTCTCCTAAATAAGGATACTAGTACCTACTCTGCCTACCTTCCTAGGTTGTGTGAAACTTAAGAAGTAAATAAAATTATAGGTACTAGGGCCAGGGTGGTGGCTCATGCCTGTAGTCCCAGCACTTTGGGAGGCCGAGGCAGTAGGGAGATCACTTGAGATCAGGAGTTCGAGACCAGCCTGGCCAATATGGTAAAACCCTGTCAAAAAAGAAAAAAAAAAGCTGGGTGTGGCATGGGGGCTTGTGCCTGTAGTCCTAGCTACTCAGGAGGCTGAGTTGGGAGAGTCACTTTAACCTAAGAAGTGAAGGCTGCAGTGAGTCGAGGTTGTGCCACTGCACTCCAGTCTGGGTGACACAGTGAGACTCTGTCTCAAAAACAAACAAACAAACAAAAAAAAGTAGAGGTGCCATTCACATGTAAAAGACCCTCATTCATTTCTATTGTTCAAAGATCCAACAAAAACGCAACCTTGATAAATGTTGACATGGGTTGAAAAATCATAGATTCCTGAGCGAAGTGTTAAAGAATTCCATTCACCCTAGTGAAGCAAAGGTAGGTGGGTGTCATAAACCCTAAGGGATTTTTTAAAATACTGAATCTTGGTACACTGCTTTCTTTCTTTTTTTTTTTTTTTTTTTGAGACGGAATCTCGCTCTGTCACCCAGGCTGGAGTGCAGTGGCGCGTTCTCAGTTCACTGCACCCTCCACATCCCAGGTTCACGTCATACTCCTGCCTCAGACTGCCGAGTAGCTGGGATTACAGGTGTGCACCACCATGCACAGCTAATTTTTGCATTTTTAGTAGAGATGGGGTTTCGCCATGTTGACCAGGCTGGTCTTGAACTCCTGACCTCAGGTGATCCACCACCTCAGCCACCGAAAGTGCTGGAATTACAGGCATGAGTCACAAGCCCGGCCCTGCTTTCTTTGAGGGACATTTGGAATTGCCTCTGCATGGTGGCCATAACGGATCTTTTGTTTGGAACATTAGCTTCTTCTTTTAGCTTTATTTTGAACTTCAGATGCTCCAATGGATCCTTACCATTCATGGTTCACACATTCCACAATAGTAGAGAATCTATGTCCCAGCTTGTAAAACAACCATGCGGCCCCAGATTTTAGGCGATCATTTGAGGCTTACTCTACCCATCAGCTGAAGATGGCATTTAGATGAGCATTTATAGTGAAATGAGAATGCCTGGTTTGTCTGTCTTAAAGTTCTGACACCAAAAAGGTATATTTTAAAATAGATTTTTTAAAAATATATTTGTTGCAGTGATTTCCAAGAAGAGCAATGTAATTATGTGGGAAGACACTCTTTCATTTGGAAGGTGAATAACTCTTGTTGAAAATGACTTAGGCAGAGCTGACACTTTTGGAATAAGTAAGGAATCAGTACTAAAACACATAGCACTGAGTGGAAGATGGAGAAGAAGGAGGTAGAGATAAAATAACTTTATAATTTCATTCTTCATTAAGTCACAATTGATGAAATCACAAAATCTAAGGGCAACCTTGAGGTTATCTGGTCTTGTATTTCTCAAATTTTAATCATTTTGTACCTCCTGCATGCTTTTTTCATACTTGCTTATCACCACTTAATATGTATAGTGGTATGCATATATTTTTTAACTTAGGCAATTTAAATTTTATTTAAAGTTATTTAACTTCTTTTGGAAGGAAACATTATATTACTATGTGTTTGGAAAAAAGTAACAACTGACATCAAGAAATAATAGTAACTGCAAAGAAATAAAATTGATTACATTATAAATAGTAATAAGTTAATTATTAGGATAAAGTATTTGTCCAAAAATCTGCTAAATAATCACATATACCAATTGTGGCAGGCGGGGTCAGGTCTAAATTTGCTTTATGTCCCTGGAATATATAGAAAATAACTTCTATTTCTCAGAAAGGGTAGTTTTTTTTTTTTTTTTTTTTTTTTTTTTTTTTTTTTTTCAGAAATCACACAGCAAGGCCTGGCAGAAATGAGATTGATGTGGTCACAGGAATGTTTCACTATGTGAGAAAGACAATCTCTTTTCTATTTGGTTGGTACAAATGTATTTGTGGTTTTTGCTATTATTTCTAATGGCAAAAGCTGCAATTACTTTTGCACCAACCTACTATATAGCTCATGGAGACAAGTCATGCATTAGTGGCTTTTTATAAAGAAGAGCTATTGCTTGGGGCTTAGTAGATTGGCATATAATTTTTCCTTGCTAAGTTTACTGGCATATTTGAACCTGTAGTGCCAGTTACAGGGGGTGTTGATGTAAGATGTTAATAGTGAGTTAAAGAGAGGAACCAAAATATAGGGCAAGAGATGAACAGAGTTGGACCGGGGAAAGAGTCTCGAGATAGATGGATTCAGATGTGCAAAGTCTATAATCTCTATAGGCAGAAGAGATATCTAAAAACGGATCACTTCCCTAACAGCTGCATAAATCTCAGGGATCCATGAAGGAGACAGCAGAGAAGCCAACTAGGACAGGAACATCAGGCTTTAACTGGAAACCGTAATAACCCAGGAGGAGTTTAGAACATAGAAGAAAAGAAGCTAATGCCGGAGATTACTCCAAATCTGCCATTTCCAGGTTGTGTTTTTCTGGATTTAGTGAACAACCCAATCACGTATAGTTACTCCACTTTTATCTCCAGCTGCAGGCAGTGAGAAGTTGTGCTCAGTATCATGCTTCAAGATCAAGTGTAACCTTCATTTAGCATTAACAAGATTAGAATGGTAGCAGGAGACTCCAACTAAAATTTATATTAACGTGTTAGCTTTATTAGTTGCTATCAGGTATAAGTGAACATTAGTCAAAGCCAAGCAAATTTGCAATAAATGATTCCAAATAACTTTAACGTGAATTGCAGAATTATAAAGGGTTATACCATTTAGTATAATCATCTTAAATGATTACATCAGGAAACAAACGCCCAGAGAGAAAAGGAAATTTCTTACAGTAGCCTATAAAGTTAATATCAGTACTGTGGTTAAAATACAGGTCTCCTGACTGCCAATATAATTCTGTTTCTAAGTACCATATTATTTTTGGACATCAGTTTTTCCCCTCTTTCTCTCATTTCCCACACAACACCTCCTTCTCCACTAGTACTTACAGAATGCTTGCACTCCCAACACTACAAGATAATTTTAAAGTGATAATCCTTTCTTTTAAACCAAAATTGCAGTGGTCCATAAAGGAAGTTAAGGTAAGCATTTATTCCAAATAGAACACAATTCCTAAATCCATCAATCTTATTTTAGCTTTTGCGTATCCAAGATTTCATATTTTGGCCCTATTCCCTCATACTAGCTCCAATCTAAAACTGACTCCCAAGTGGGTAACCCAATTGTAATTCAAATCTGATATTCTTCTATCTTCCATGCACTTGGCTTCATTAATCTTCGTACTTTTCAACATGTGTAAATCACATGCACAAGCCGAGTTTCTTAAAGCCTCCTGCTCCCCATGATCTTTCCTTCCCCATATCTGAATTTCTTTCTCAAAATGTTGTTTGCCCAGAAACTTCCTTCAAAAACAGAGAGCAAACCTTTATAGGAAGAACTATTATTTGCAAATGGTTAGTGTACCATGGAGCTAATTCTTTTCTTGGTATATTGCTCCTTATGTACCAAGAAACACAAATATGAATTTATGAAATATGAAAATTGGAACAAAAAATTACCAAAACAAAAATTACCAAAAAATGTACCAAACCCTAGCTTCTTTTGTAGAAAAAAAAAAAAAAAAACAATGCTAGTGTATTGGGGTGTTAGTAGATTTAAGCCAAATTATCTATTTAATCTTGGAAAGTGAGACGCTCATTGCATTTTATGAAGTGAAAACACTCTCCTATCTGGTCTTCTGAAGCAGAAAAATCACAGAGAAACAGTTAGAAAAATGATTGGCACAGTATGATCCTCTCCAACCCCTAAATTTTCAGCTTTCAGAGTTTTTTGTTTATTAATTCATTAATTAGGGGGAGGGGTTGCTTCTGTATTTTAAGTTAGCTTTTTGCTACAAAAATTATTAGTTGTCATCTGTGTTGTACAGCCAGTAGGCACGTATGGCCCTTGTTTGCAAGTGTTTAAAATATATCACCTTTATCCAATATAATTCAGTACATTTTTCTGTAGCCAGAGTCTCAAATTCCCTTCCTGAATCCATTTAACTGATGCTCCCCTGGTTCTTTTTGATGACCATCAGCATTCCACGTCTGCGTATCTAGATGTGTGTATGACAATAAAGGAATTGCTTCTTGGTGATTGGTTCGTCTTGAAGATTTTTTATGCACAGATGATGTTCAAATTGTTTTGGAAACACACTCTCAAATCAATTGCTACATAATCAAACTGTATTGAGAAGTATCCCACCTGCACCTGAGAAGTATCCACCTGTATTTACAAACATACACATCCACCCTAGATATGTTTATATTTCTGAATAAAATTGAAGGAATCTTGCAACACAGTGCAAATAATAAAGTTAGTTTCCACAGTGTGAACTTAATTATATTTCTCTCAAAAACAAAAGGCCTCAAGTTTGCACATGGCAGTGTACAGTATTGTGAAAAGGCACACGCTCTTTAGCAGGTGCGTATTTATAAAACTTTTATTGGTATTAAGAAATCTTTTATTTAAAAATATTTATTATGGTCATAATCATAGATATTTTAAATCCATAGATTATACATAATCTATACATAATGGTTTAATTTCCTGTTACATATTCTTTCCCTTAACACATATTACTTTCAGAAAATGCTCTTTATGCCAAAAGCTGTGACCCACACCTGTAATCCTAGCATTTTAGGAGGCCTAGGTGCGAAGTTCACTCGAACCCAGGAGTTCAAGACCAGCCTGGGCTTGAGAACTCATCTTTATACACACACACATGCAAACACGAATTAAATTAGCCGGGCATGCTGGCGCATACCTCTAGTCTCAGCTACTTGGAAGGCTGAGGTGGGAGGATTGCTTTAGCCCAGAAGATGGAGTTTGCAGTGTGTGAGCCAAGACTGGACTGCACCACTGCACTCCAGCCTGGGTGACAGAACAAGACCTCCAAAAAAGAAAAACAAACAACAACAAC